ACATCATTGTAACGTAAAATTGCAACGTTAAAATCAATCCCGCTTTGTCACAGGACGATCTGTATTTTCAACCAGTCATATCATCCCTATCGTATTTGTTTCATAATGTATTTCGCATTGTGATTTAGGCATCACGTAAAATAACGATGTCATATTTTTATGCGAATTATTCATCTGATATACTTATTCATACAAATTTTTTTATTTAAAAAATTTAACAGTATATTTAATTTTATTGTGATTGTACTTCAGGAAAGTCGTTATATTTTTGCCTGATTGACCAATTTATTAATATTAAATTTGTTAAAATAAACTCCAGTATTTTTATCAACGGTAAGAAAAGATAATAAAGATGGTTTATAGAAAAGCGGCCTCGACTATCTATCGCAATTTCAGCCCCTTTGTGCTCGTAAATCTGCAACACGAAGTAATTAACGCGTTATGGATCCGTATGGCCCGTATGGCATCATCGACAAAATGATGTTAGCGGCGCTTTCAAACTGTCCGATAATTCGGTATTCTCCCCGCTCATATAATATCACATTCGAATAATTGCACCGTATTTTCTAAAACAATGCGGACTCGCCATAGTGCGTACAATAGCATGACGCACATCTGATCCATTTCAATATTCGCATTGTTGGCATGTGGAACATTGAAACGCATATCCGGTTAGAATCACTATACAATTAGAAAGGTAATCCATATTATCCTCTTTTGAGTTAAATACAAAAGTCATACTCTCGAATAAAGAAAGAGATTAAATTATTTTTACAATAACTGAACGCTAAAGAGATATTTTATACGCTTAACATTCAGAAAAACTTTCAATTACAATTACGTAATTTAAGGTTTCTCGGTTTGAATATTTGCTTAAGTTAAAAATATCAGATTTCAGACAGTCAACCAAATACAATTATATAATTAAAAAAGTATTTATAAAAAAAAAGTTTTCTGACAACAGTAATTAAATTTTAATAGATAATTAAATTAACGAAATTAATATTATAACATTCCTTTCCCATTTTTTCTTTCCCATTTGTATTTTGTTTTAATTCGTTACTTTTGGAAGAAATATATTTCAAAGTCTTCTTTCTTCTCGTAAGAAATTCGAACGAAGAAATACAAGCCGCAAAAGATTATAACTTGGAGGATCGTGTTTCGGAGACTGAACGCACTGAGTACTCGTGGATAAATTTATGTCTGCAAATGGTATTATAATGAAACTGGAATCGCGCGTATATCTTAACTTCAGCAGGTCCTTAGCTGGAGGTCCAAGGCGACGGCTCGTAAATCCGACGACATCGTGATTACACTGACGTTAAGGAATGTCGTACGGCGCGAAAACGCGCAGCCGGGCGCAACAGTTTCATATCCACTCTGATTTATTAAGCCGACTTTATTACGCACGGCGGAATTATCCGCATGTACATACAGACACATCGTGATCTGTTATCGCGCAACAAAAACAGTTCGCTTATCTGTCGTATATTTTTGTCGACATTGCGGCGCATTAACGGCGGCGCATAAACATGTACATTTCATTATCATGACAACAACTGTTGTTTAACTTGCACATTTCGAATTGTATTTTGCTTGAATTGTAATTTTGCTAAAAAAAAGTAATTTTGCTGAAGCATCTAAAAACCAGATACAGATCTAAAAATAAATTTCTCGCGTTGTCAAAATAATTATGCAGAAAGTTCAAATTGATTGCTCAAATAGAAAAAAATCTTTTCAATATTGTCATACCTAAGCGTCCTACATAATTATCTTTAGAATGTAACAAAATTATTTTCAAATTTATATATGATCAAATTTTTAAATATCTTGGTAAAACTGCTTTTTTCATATAAAAAATAATGATTTTGATAAAATTGCGGCTTTGTTTAGAGTACACAGTCCAAAAATTATACAAAGAAGTTTATGATATATTTGTCTACTGTAATAAAGTTATTAAGTATAATTAACGAAGAAAAGAGTTAATTAATTTTTCCATAAACGGATTGCAAGAAGACGAAAGGAAAACATTTTCTTGTAAACTTACGGTTACTGATTATTTCCGTGGTAATTAGCGTCTCATGAATTTTTGCATAATGCGCATCAGCGTCGCTTCGTTTTATCAAATTAAACGCGCTATATTTCATAATAATTTTACGTAACGAAAATCCACAAAAATCATAAAAAACAATGGCCACAATGGCAAATCATGACATATCGGAAATGAAAATCGTGCAGACAAGTCACGTATTAATTTCGTAATTGTTTACAATTACTACGTTCCATATAACCGATGTCTATCTACATCTGTGTAGAACACAGATGTAGATAGACGGATATGCATGCAATCTGAGAGAAATCATATTTAATCATATAAGGAAATCTCATAAAACCTTAATAAAACAAAAGGAGTATTACAGCATGGTACTGAGTATAACTTTCGACTCTCGCCTCATTAATCGCAGTACAACCAGAGTTAAGTTTTTGTTGAAACAAAGTTTCCGTTAGGGTTTCAGTTTTTCTCTACCTCCTTACAACACAACTAAGCATTTAGTAATGAATTCCTGTGTAAAGCCCACAAACGTAATTTCCATTAAATTGGAAACGTCAAGCGAGTTTAATATCCATCTTTTACACGTACATGCGTTCAACGATGTGTTTAGCTCTCCAACATTTTCTCGCAGCATATACAGCAGGAATAGAAAAGTACAGTAACTTTCAAATTGTAGGTTCTTGAAGCCGCCCATTATTACCGTTGGAGTAGTACGTAGCTTTAAACGCTATGCATGCGTTATAATTATAACGCTGTCATTCTTCGACGCGCTTCGCGAATGCAAATCTCCCTTTAAAGAGGGAAAACAGAAGCCGTACGCGCGCACTCCTGTAAGTCGGGGCCTCGAAAAGAAGCCGGTGCCAGCGGCGATTACGATGATACCAACCAGCGCTATTATAGTCACGCAGACAAACGGGCGAAAGTTTTACAGCAGAAAATACAGCCACAGGTACTGAGGTTTTAAAATTGCATAAATTTTCTTCCCGCATCCGATTTTGTATGTTGTGGCATATTTAGCAGAATGTCGCTCGAGCGGGATATTACGTGTTTAAATTTAAAAATGTTGGGTGAAATATGAAAATGAAATAAAGCAGCGTGAAATCTCATGCATGAAACTATCCATTAAACGAAACCCGGTAATTAAATAAAAATACTCATTTTTTTTTAATTAAGATATCAAAGCTCGAACATTTCTGAATTATAAGTAATCCCGGAGAATTATAATTAATTTAACTGCATAATTAACATATCAGAATTAATAAAAGCATTATGTGTGCGTATCGTAACATGTTTAATTCGTGAGTAAACTTTACCTTCTTTGAATTTTAATCTGAATGTTATTTGAAACCAGACCTTACGCACAAAAAACCGCCAATGTAAGAACTGCCATCGTAAGAATTCTGAAGAAGCCGGATACGTCAAATAAACGAAGATATACAATTCCTTCGTTTTATCCTGGGGGACGCGTCGACCCCTTCGTTCCTCCATCCTCCACGCATTCTTGAGCATACCATGGAGGGTAGTTACAGTTCGCGGTTGCCTCGATAACGAAAACGCGTGCGGTTAACAAGTTGACCGTACTTAGCCAAGAAAGAGAGAGAGAGAGAGAGAGAGAGAGAGAGAGAGAGAGAGAGAGAGTGAGAGTGAGATAAACGAGGAGGGTGAAGGAGGACAACGTTGAATAATGTAAAATTTCATTTCAGCACGCCTCCGCGTCGTCATCGACGGCGTGCCGTTGATTCGATGTTTCGTGAAACATTTAATGCTCGTGGAATTTCCCATGCGATTTCCTCGTGCCGGATACGCGTGCACGGGCCATGGTGTGCTCGCTCTCGCTCGTTCGCTCGCTCTCATCCCGCGCGTCCGTCGATCGACGAAGGCGAAGGGAATTAAGAGGGAACTACAGAACATGTTCCCCCCATCCGGGGAACACGTCCGCTCTTTCCGCGATTCGTGCCTCGAATTTGCGACGACGAGAGCGACGGCGTGTCGAAAGGGAGAAAAAAATATTGCCTGCCGGAGGGTTACGCCAAGAGCACTGGACGATACTGGATACGTTGTACCCCGTTCACCAACCCCCGTCCCTCTTTCGCCTCCCAACATAATATTGTCTACTCTCTCAGAGAAGGAGGGAGAAGGAGAACGAGTGGTATATAATGTCAAATAAAGAGAAAGAGGACCAGGGGGATTGAAAGCTGATGGAAGGAACGGAAAAGGGGAAGAAGGGGGCTAGAAGGGGAGTTGGGAACGCCAGTGAGCCACGCTGGGATTTAACGAGGCGCCTCGGCTGCGCGTTGCAACGACGATGCACTTGCCGGATATCCGGTGCGTCCGGACGGCTCGTGAGATATTCAACGGAGCGAATATCCGGACAGATTATGCGATTCTCCTTTTTTCGTGACAATCCTTTGCCATCCTCCATGCCACCCTCTGCACCGTGACATCGCGAGTGAGAAATTTTAACGCAACCGATATATATCGGCGGCACAGTAGTTTACAGTAATAGATAATTCTGCACCGAAAATACATTGGCGAAATTCCAGGCAGTCCGCCGATGTGTTTACGAAATGCGCTTAGAGAATGCGCTTAATTTCAGATTTGTTTCTAATGAAATGATTACTGCCGATAAATTAAATTTGTTAATCTTTTTGTGATATTTTTTGCGATTCTCTATTTTGTCACTAATTAAAAAAAACCTAATGATGAAACGGCTGGCGAATTTAATTCGCTAACGTGAAATTTCACAAAAAATTTAAAATATAATTATATTAAATTTAAATATAATTTTAATAAATGTATAATATTTTAAATATATTAAAATATTATTAATATATAAATATTTAAATATTTAAATATAATGTATTTAAATATAATGTATTTATTTAAATACAATTATGTTAAGATGGAAAATATTTGTCAAGAATAATAGAAATTAAGAATAGTGTACCTGGTATTATTGAAAACTTCATTCAAAGCATGTCTCAATGACTCTTCGGTTAAATCAGAATACGGGAGCATCAATGCGACACCTCTAGTCTTCGCTGCAGCAGCATTGTAGTACTGATCACCGAACACCGGCACCAAGACCATTGGCAAACCTACGTAAGTAGCCTCCGTGAGACCAAGAAGACCACCGTGACCCAAGAAACACTTGACATTTGGATGATCTAAAAATATAGCAAAATAATAATTAATAAACAATAGCAAAATAATAATTAATAAACAATAAAAACTCAATTAACAACTTAGACATTAAGAAGGAGAAACAAGTCAATCAGAAAAGATTCGAAAATAAAAGTACTATCTTAAAAAACTATATATATATATATATAAATTATTTTTTTAATAAAATTATTAATAAATAACAAATGGAAGAGA